TTAAGACAGATAAAGCTTTTTTGAGGGACCTGCTGGCAGTGAGTTACCTTTGCACCACGAAGGCATGCCGAAAGGAGGAAGTAAATACATTATAAGTTTATGACCACTAAATACTTTAATTGTTAACGCTAATCACAGTATGCTACTTTCATATCTCCTGCGTGATACTCGTAATCACAGTATGTTACTCTTGATCACAGGTATGTTACTTACCTGCGTTTGGAAGTTATTTGAGTAACTTTATTAGCTAGTCTATACACAATGCGGAAAAAAATAAGTAGAAGTCTTCGCTCTGTAATCGTTCATTAGATTTGCTTTAATCGTTTTAATAATGTGTCTAGCGTCTTAGACTTCAGTTGCGTGACACATTAAATACTACTTTTTAAAATTCCCAGCACGTTTCCGATCGAGTTGTTGATCGATGCGTAACAACGATCTCATTCATGGATCGTAAAGTGTTTTCGTTTTCTTTTGTTTCTCTCATATGTTTTCGGAGGATTATACGTGATTGACAACTACCTGACACATAATCGTCCAATGATACAGGAAGTGATTAGTAATGTGTCCCATCGTTGTTGTTGCATTCTGTGAACAGTTTACGACTTACTAGTTAAGTGAAGCGGAACTAATAATGGATTATCTCAATACGTTTTGCGAATTTTTATTTGTCAATACATGTGTTTTTACTCTTGAGAATAAAAGGTAAAATTATCATAAGAAGTTTATTTCACTTTTTTTTGTTGTGAAGAAGTTTTCACAACATATGTACGTATCTACGTACGTATCTCGCATAACTCAAAAACGAGTAGCCTCAGAACGTTGAAATTTTGTATATAGGAGTGCTATGACATGTAGATGTGTACCTCGCATTTTGGTTCCAATTGGCCTCGCCAAACGTATATAAATATATTTATATATATATCCACTCTGTTACCCGGCTCAGTGATCCCAGTTTCTTTACTCTTATATGTTTGTAAATTGTACATTTTTTGCTTTAAAAATGATTGAATTATGTTGTTTATATCTTCCAGTTAAGTTTTTTATGCCTTTAGTAAATCTGTATGCAATATTTTTAGAATTATCAACAATTTTAAAGTTGTTTAAGTGCCGCTAAGCATTTCTATATGGCGGCTATTAATTGTTTACATTTGAAACAGCAGACTAGTGGATTTGTTGCCAATCTAGAGAAACTTAGCTTCGCAACAACAAAGATAAGGCCTTCATTTATTATTGCCAATTAAATCATGCTTAATCCTTTCTGGAATGTTTTCGAGGAAATAAGTGTTTAAGATTTACTTCGTAATTTTTAATATAGATATTTTTAGTTTTTATGTATTTTTGCCTTGTCGCGAAGTGAGAACCGAATTAATTGAATGAGAAATACTCAATCGTCTGTGAAAACTGTTTTTTTTTGTTTTTTTGCTTAATTTCTGTTATACATCGTTCTAGCTTATTATGTATTTGATAGAACATGTGGCAACGATTGATAATCTATTCTCTAAATGATATAAATTTTGCGCATATGAGTTATAATATGAACGAATATAATACTGTTAAGTGAATCTCAGCGCCAGAGTGTCGCTATGGTAAACAAATACTAGAGGAATTTTAAAGAATGCATTTATTCTATTGTGGTTTATGCGCTGTCGGCGAAGTAGATTTAATTCAATCCAATAAGTTTAAATGAAATGCAAGAAAACTGCGTATAATTTAATATTCCGTACAAGGAAGTCATGTGGTGTAAACATCAGATTTTTTTTTTCCTGGTAAATGATGTTGGCAACAAGAGCCTAACCTCTAAGGAGTACATAATATATTTTTTTTCTAGTTCTTAGAAACATCGCTCATCTTCAAGAACAAATTCGGAGAAGAATAAAAATACTGAAATAGAAGGGTTATATTTTTCAGTTGCTGTAACTGAAATAAACAAAAAGTTATATCAAAGTAGCTATTAAAAATATGTATTACTAAAACAAAAAAACAAAAAAAAAAAAAAAAAAATCTGATATATTTCAGATTTTACATTACGCCCAAAGGGGCGTTTTTTTAACGTTTACTGTGTTAGCTTTATTTATTAAATATCATGTTCTTCGCACTTAAACGATACAATTCAATTCAACAGCAATATCACAAAATAATTTTAAAATAAGCATACGTTTAAAATTTTCGATACATAGTCTCGTGCGCTGGAGATAATTTTTTTTTTCTGTACAACGTTGCCATTGCTCGCTTTTAAATCCTTTGAGTTTGTTAATCAAAACTTCGTTAATGTGTTACAAAATATGAAATCGATAATAAAACAAATTCCAACTTCCAAGTTGGGGGTTTCCAGATGCCCACATTCGGAAGAGAGTTATGTTATTCAAAATTGGATAGCTCTAGGTACCGCTGTTTTATCACAATGCGAGAAACATGCATACATTTATGCAGATTTTTTATTATTTAATTATTATAATACAGGGCTGTAATACTTGGTGGGAACAGTTTGAAAAGTGAAACAACGCAGAAAGTGAATCGACGCAAAATGCAAAAGGAAATTAATAACCCTGAGCTTACGCTCGTTTGGGATAAAAATTTGCATTTAACCTAATTAATAATATTTTCAGTTTATTTCTATTCGTTATACATCTTTGCACTGTAGATAATTCCTACAAACTGCACATACATAGTACAAACATGAATGTTCTTTCATGAAATGAATAGAGTAAATATATGCTGAAGAAAATGTAAAATAATAATAATAATATAAAGTGTCGCTAAAAATTCATTATATCCATATTGATAGAAGTACAGTGTTAGAAAACCTGCAAGGCAAAATAAGTTTTAGAGATCTAAATTTGTTAATGTTTCCTTTTCTTTAATCATAAGAATATATATGCACTTTTTTCGAATTAAAAAAGAAAATCACTTAAATCATTTTAATTTTGTCAATTATTTACAATTAAAAATTTTAGGATTCCTGCAAGTATCAAAGATAAAATATACTGAGCTGATCAGATAAGGTAAACTTAAAGTGAATAATCTTTAGACAGTTTTTAATTGTGCATCAAAGGGAATGCAAAGTATTATTTATTTGGATAAAATCTTTAGTTACCTAATTATTTAAAAAAATTGAATTTTGAATTTTTTCTATAAATCCCGATAAATTTTACCCCATTCCTACTTTGATAATTTGACTTTCGATCCAACTATTAAACGTTTGGTGTTTTGGGGCATTCAGTCGCTGGGGAGCTTTGTAAGGTTTTTCTCCCTTTCCTTGTAAGGTTTCTTATTAGCATGCCTTCGTGGTGTAGTGGTCAGCACGCTCGACGCGTATTCGAAAGATCCATAGTTCGAATCCCTGCAAAAGCATTGCTTATTTTTCGTCGCTCCTGCTTCGAAATACCCTAATGTCTCTACAGTGGCGCCCGAACTAAAAAAGGTGGTGGATGATAACTCTCCACCACCATGATTTGGCTACTGCGTCCCCTAATCCCCAGTCACCCTTTAAAAGAGGGTAGTATATAAGGTATTTATCCCGCCTTCTTAGTAAGCTTTCGTAGTATAGTGGTCAGCACGCTCGACACGTATTCGAGAGGTCCGAGTCTCTGCAAGGGCATTGCTCATTTTCCGTCGCTCCTGCTTCTAAATAACTTAATCTTTCTACAGCTTCGCGGATGATATGGTAAATGTTTAAAAGGGGGAGGGGACTTAAGAACAGTCTTCTGCACATAAAAATTCGAAATTTAATTTTTTAAATTTTCATTCAAAAAACAAGGTTTCTTAACATATATGATAAACTCAAGCTCAAATATTTTATACATCTGTTACTTAACATTTTCATAATGAAATTCTTAAAATATAACCCTTTTTTTTTCAACATTGCTTAATAATGTATTTGTAAATATACATTTTGGTATATAGGTTACTTCGTAATTAATTAGCAAATGAAATATTTGGGGGAATTTTTTGATTTACTTGAGTATAACCTCTAGAACTCTAACACTTCTCACCCGGCGTGTGTCCTAGTGAATGAGTTGGCTGCATGTGCATTTTCGCAGTTATGTTTCCATGCAACCTCAACTATTTTCATTTAGAATGTCTTTCTTCTAGGAAGGTCGCTTTCCTATATTTTGTCGGAATTAATTAAACAAAATGTATAAACATATTTTCATTAAGTAAGCTATTAGTATGTTATTAAGAGAAACATTTCTATCAAGGAATTTTAATTAAATAAATAAAAAACAGTTATAACAAATTCTTTACAAATACATTTTACGATTTTTAACAAAATTAGGGTAAAAAATTTAATTATGGCTGTTTTTTTTTCATAAAAATTCAAGAATATTTAAATTCGTGTATAGGGATTTTTCAAAAATATTTAGAAATCGTATTCAATTTTTTTGGGGGGGGGCCGGGGGAATATTTCTTTGCATAATGCCTGAAAATTTAGCCGCATACTTAAAAATAAACAATACCGGAATATAAGTTATTGTCAAGAGTAATATCGATTAGACGTATTGTTCTATATCAAGTACGCAATCTTTCCACATTAAGTATTATCTCATATACATTTCACAATAGTCCAGTCAGTGGCCAAAGTTATATGATCGCTGAATATTGCTGATTCGACCCGATTTCGCATTTCGACTACTAGTCTTCATGAATATTTTCGTAATTTTTCTTATGTATAACGTGAAGATGAGCCATTTTCCCTTAAGAAGTCTCTAGTGAAAGCATTCTTTTCCTTTACGTGGTCAGTCGTTTTGTAATTTATTATTATAAGCTGCACTGAGTATCTTGCAATAAACCCTCAAAATAAAATAGTTGATTGAATGCATAATAGAGATCTAATAGCCAAGGATAAGTAAGCAGAATGAAAAAGTAAGATTCTTAGCACATGAATCTCAAGTAGTATCTTATTTTCCTTCAATGTTTTCAAATTTGCCTCATGCTCTTTTTGTTTAAACAAGAATTTACAGCTGCATTACATTGCTAATTTGTCCTCTTTTTACTTTTAGCTTTTCATTCTAGTAGCCGTAGTGGCTGCTTTTGCTAATGCCAAAGAAGAACCATTTTCAATAGGCCTTGGCACTCTATCCCCTTCTTACAGGCAGACTGTTGGAAAAGAAAATGTTAAGGTCAATGTGGAACAGAGAGACGACGGCTTTTCTTACAGCGTTGGAGATCCTAGGACAGGTACAAACACTTATCTCAACTTTGGAGGAGCTTCAGCAGGTCAAGCAGTAAACCCAGCTGGTTATGCATCTGGATATGGAGCCTCAGCAGGTCAAGCAATTAACCCAGCCGGCTATGCATCTGGACATGGCGCTTCAGCAGGTCAAGCAATAAACCCAGCTGGCTATGCATCTGGACTTGGCTCAGGATATGGCTCACTAGGTGCTTCTGTCAACCCTGGTGCTTATTCTCAAATGCCATCTATCAGTCCTGGAGGATATGGTGGTTCAGTTTCTTCCCAATATGGCAGCCCTTCTGCTTATGGTGGACTTTCTGGACTCCCTTCCCCTTCTTATGGTAGCAACAGTGGTTTAGCTGGATATGGTGGACCTTCCGGTCAAAGTGGATTGTACAGTGGACCTGCTTCAGTCCAAGGTGGTTACGGATCATCCTCTCCTGTTGGTGCAAGTGGATTTTATGGAAGCAGTAATCTCGAAGCAGCTCGCAAACCTGAAGATAATCCTGCTCCAATAATACCAGCTGGATTCTCTTATCATGGCACTGAAGGACAAGCATTTTTGAGACAAGGAGATTCCCCTAATTTTGTTATATCTGATGACAACAAAGGTGCAAATCTCGGTCCTGCTCAACGAAGCTTTCAAACTCGTGGAGGTCTTCCAGTAGGGGGATATGCCGGACCTCAGCATTCTGGTACCTTCAAAGAGCAAAATGGATATTTTCCTTAAACAGATTTCTTCAACTCTAAATTAAAATTTCTAAGACTCATACTCGATATTTATGGGAGTAGTATTGCTCTAAAACGTGGAGCAAGTGGAAATCTTTCCAAACTAGAGAGCTGGACTGATCACTACCATCAGTTTAGTAATGTGAGTTGTCATTCAAAAATATTGTCAAGCAATCGATCTTTCGAAAACTATCCCTTTCTGAGTTTTGGTGAATACTTAATGTTTTTCTCGACGCTATTTTAAAAAGAAAACCAATTGCTGCTTCTTCGAAACAAAATGAAACATTATCGGTAAAAACAATACTGAAGAATAATTACTTTAGTGCCAGAAATAATCAAATATCAAGCTAAGAATGTCAGAAAAATGTACAAGATAAATGATAATTTTAATATTTGGCTTACATCTTGCAGTATTCTAGCGATATCAATTAACAATACATTACATATAAATTATACGTTTTCGATCGTTTGATAAAAATTATACACATCAGATTTTTTCTTCTCTAATCAGTCAATGCTTTAACATTGACTGTGTCTGCGCCTCAAATTTTTTTCGAAATTGCTGTGTTCGGAAAAAAATTGAGTATTTCATCGTGAGATTAAGGCACTACTCTTTACTGTTTTAAGTTTATCCCCATAATGCATTTTTGATGAAAACTAAATACTCATTGGAAGCATATTCAGGATCATAGTTGCATTTTTCTTAAGCCTATTTTTATTCCTAAGCCTATTATTCCGTTAAGCTTAATTTTTTCTATTTAACAATTTCATCCGAACGCTAAAATGTTTTACCTGTTCAGAGAGTGTAGAACATGCGCTGTGAAAAAGAGAACATGAGAAATGCAACAAGTTTAGGTTTTCTTTTTTCTTAGAAACACATTTCAATTTAAACATATTGAAGATTTTGTTTTTCAGTTTGAGCATAGAATTTATCGAAGAAGATTAAGTAGAACAACGTTCAAAAATGATAATTTTAGTCATGCTTACCCTACGTGCTGGCGCATGGGATTTTATTTATTTGTATATTCATTTCAATATAAAATTATCTGAAACGTATTCAGATTTGAATTCTGTTAAGTATAAGATCGAATGTTGACTCTATTTTTGACGCTGTAAAAAAGCACAAAATCAAGCACAGAGAACTGTGAATGAATGAAATTTATATGAGCACAATTATGTGATCTTTGTGATTTCAACTGTCAATAACTACATGTGATCATTGTGTTCCAGAAGCATTTTAATATTTATTTAATTTATTCTTCTGCAAATGCTACAAAGAAACTGTGAGATACAGTGTTTTTAATAAAACTATTATGTTGAATTCTTGTTGTACTTTACCTTTTTTAACACTGAGCGTTAAGGGAATGATTTATTCCAAATCAATACTAATGTTTTATCAATGCATTAATATACTAAGGCAACAAAACATATATATGTGTGTGTGTGTGTATGTGTGTAAAATTTAAGAATATTTAAGTAATAAATATTTTTAATGTCGAGCAAAACACTACAAAATTTAATCAAGAAGGAAATAAAATATGCATAATTAATATCAATAAAACTAAGAGGAAGGAACAAATTAAAATTAGTTTGATACCCCAAAATCTCAAAAAACAGTATCAAAATAAAAGTAAATAAATACAAAAATAAAAAATGTAATAATTAAATATTAAATCTGAATAATAAAAACAATTGAAAATTTCTTGGTCTTTGTTAAGGAGCATCCAAAAGAATTATCATTAAAGTAAAGTTTCTGAATTTTATATGGATGAATTACAAAAGAATAACCCAAAATTCTTTTTTTAATTTAAAATAAAAAATAATAAAATCTGAAAGCTTTCAGATTTTATATTGCGCCCAAAGGGGCGTTTTTTTAAACATTTTGTGTGTTACCTTTACTTATTAAATATCATGTTCTTCACAATTAAATCACATAAAATTTAATTCAACTAGCAATATCAAATCATATTTAAAAATAGCTTAGCTTTAGAATTTCTGATAGACAGCGCTCTCGCGCACTGGAGATAAAAACGTTATTTTCCATACAGCGTTGCCACTGCTCGCTTTGAAATCATTGAATTTGTTAATAAAAAATTCGTTTTTACATAAGTTTTACAAAATGTAAAATAGATAATAAAACCAATTTGGAATTCGGTTGGAGGATTATGCGAGAAACATACATACATTCAGGCAGACTCTTCATTCTTTAATTTTTTTAAATATAATACAGGGCGATAATATTTGGTGGCAACAACTGGAATAGTGAAACAACGCGAAGCGTGACGTTTCAAAACTAGTAGCCCTTCTGGACTACCACCCCTTTGGGCTAATAATTACATGATAACATAAACATACAGTTTTTTTTAAAGGGAACTTTTAAGAAATTACCAAATGCGATCATCAAAATATAACCGGCTCGAAGTGACATCAATGTATATAATATATAAATAATAGTAATAATAATATTCATAATAGGAAAAAAAATAAGAAGTAAAAATTCTGAAAAAATAGAAGGAATATACTATTTTAATTTTAAAAATAGTAACTTTGAATACCAAAGAGGCAAAATTACAATTAACTAAGAAAACATCAGTTGGAAAAAACAAACTTATAGAAAACGCAAAATATCCTAAGCTTTGTGGAAATCCAGCCCACCAGCAACCGAGTGGTAAAATCGCTGAAGAGTGGTAATAGTTCCGACTTGCGTTCGATTTCAGGCGAAAGAGCTGGCTGCATAGACACTTTCGTGGATTTCCCCATGTGTAACGTATATACGAGCCAGTTTCCCTTAGAAAGTTCTCCTTAAAGGCGTCCCTCCCCTTAGGCAGATAGCCCTCGACTGCTTTGCCATAATCTACCAAAATAAACTTCGTGGAATTAAAAAAAAAATACACAAAAGTGAAAAATCAAATACAACTTAAATTTCCGGAAGTTAATTTAAATTTAGATTTCAGAAGGGAAATGAAGGAAAAGCAAATCAAAAATTGGGCAGCGAAATATGTTGCCAATTTCCGGCAAAACCGAAATGCTGTTGAAACTCGAGTAAAATTCAAACGTTAAAATGCAATCTATAAAATTGAAAATGCAAAATTAAATTTCAAAGTAAATGGAAATAACTAAAAAAGAAATTGTCCGAATTCCATGTCCTGGAATTTTGGAAAAGTGGTACTAAATAAGGAATAATAAAAATACATTTTTCGTAAAGTAGGAAATCAAAATAATCGTGTAAAGGAAAGTAAAAAACAATGAAATGAGAATAAAACTTTATCTCCTGAGCTTTCAAACTTGAATTTAAACAAGAATATGTATCTATCATTTCTAAGTGTACAAAAAGTGTACTAAGTTAGAAAACAAAAGTTTAGTATTTGTATTGCTGGGGAGGTATAATTTGAGATGTGGGAAACGCTGCTTTAGTAAAAATGAAAGCAGTACTTTTTTATTAAGAAAATAAAAGCGGTGTAATTTTTAATTTCAAAATTGTGGCAGATTAAAAGAAAAATAAAAAAAAATGGTGTTAAAACTGCTTAAAATTAAGGGGACTCATACACCTTAAAACCCATAAGATCTTCGAATATGTGACTGTTGCAAGAATTGGGATAACTTATTTATTTTAAAAGCAATTACTTCCAACGTTTTACAGCTGACTACATAATATAGCTGCTTTCTGAAATACTAATCAGAAAGTTTGTGTTGCCACAAATATTTTTATAATTTAATCCGCTTTGTGACAAAAGTTTTCCTCGTGTTCCCACCTTGCGCGCGCAGTTTAAAACTTTCTGTTGCATAATTTAATTCCATATTTAATATATAGCTTTTATAACATTTGGAAATGACTGTGAAACGAAAACTCTAAGAACTGCATGTTAAATTTTTATTTTATTTTTAGTTGAGTTTATGAAATGTATTTTATTAAAAAAATCTGTAATGTTTTCGTGCACAAAATTGTTTAATATTAAAATATTCATCAGATTTTTGGTTCAGTTAGAAAATAGTGCCCATATAAAGAATTCCACCAAATTTCAAGTATGTACCATTAGCCATTTTTAAAATATGTGCGCAAGGTGGAAACATGATGAAAAATATTGTCACAAAGCGGATTAAATTACAAAAATATCTGTGGCAGCAGAAACTTTCTAGTTACTAGTTTCCAAAGCAGTTGTATATTATGTAATCAGCTGTAAAAAATTAAAAGTAACTGCTTTTAAAATAAATAAAATATCCCAATTCTTGCAACAGTAACGTATTCGAAGATCATAAGGGGTTTAAGATGCATGAGCCCCCTTAATTGACAGAGGAAGTAGGAGGCTCTAGTTAGGTTTAATAAAAATGTGTAAACTTTGACAGGGAAATTAGGAGAAAAATTTCTTGATTTTTATCCTACTTCTTCTGTTAATTAGTACGTTAGAATATTTAGCCCTGAGAATACTTTCAGAAATTCTATCCCTTAATACATTTTAATAAAATTAAAGTTTTATTTCACAGAAATTCACTTTCTAAATTTTCAAATCAAATCGCTGTAAATACGTTCATCAAAGTGTTAATTTCAAAATACAGAAGCACCCTGACTCTTGATGAAAGGTATTTGGAGGTAAAAACCGATCAGTTGATGTACAGTTTAGAAGCTAGTAATATATTGAAAATTAGTTCAGTCTTAGTAAATAGTATACTTGTGACCTGTCTGCAACTATGTGGTATGAAATAAAATTAAAGATTTTCATTCATGATACCGTTTCTGAAAGCAAGAGCCGAAGGATCATATATGGTGGAGTCTCATTCATCTGTTTTGCACTTTGATATGCCATTCTTAGACTTCGTTATTTTTTTGGGGTTTAAGCAACACAGTCTTGGTGTCCGAAACAGTTGATTATTGAGCAGTATAGAATAAGGAATTATTGCATTTATCTGTGCAATTTATAAATATCTAAGTATCGTTTATTCTTTAATCACTTCACCAGCCTATGAAATCCAGTATTTGCTTCCTTTTTTCCTCCAAAGAAAAATATTTTGCATCTGAAACTGGCATTAGAAATATTTTTCCCAACCCTTTCTCCAGTTGTCAAGAACTTATTTAGGAAACTGCCTACTCGTCTCCCTACCCAAGATAATTTTTTTTTTTTGTTTCCTAGTTTCTTCTCTGAAAATTAACAAAAACAGTTCCCTGAAATCATGCATTTGTATGAGAAGTAGTTCCATTGCAATACCATCTGAAGGAAGTCGAAAGTAAAGTTCTAATAAACCGGATTTGTAAGTGAATTCACCTTTCGTGCGATCTTGATATAAATCCGCTTTGGTGTGGGGAAATCATGACCCTCAATCACCCCTTTTTTTTCGCTTGGGGGCTTTATTTTAGCATTCTTGGGGGGTTGGAAAATGACAATTGTCTCGGAAGTAGGCCTAATTTAACCCCAGTGAGTGGATCTGGCCGAGGAGTCTAAAGTAATAAGTCTAATATCACAAAAGGGAAACCAAGAAAATGTCAGCAACATGACTTATCATGGCCGCCATATAGCATACGATTAAGACTATGAAAGATATCGTTAAATAAAATTACACTGACTTTTAGAGCAAATATCAGTGTCGGCAGGTTCAGAAAAGGATTTTTAGTCATAATTTATACAAAATACTGTTAAAACTTCCACTGATTTCCAGGTTTTACCATGTATACATTTGTTTTACAGCTACCATTTATACATTTTCATGCACCAAAATTTTATTAAATTTGAAACAGTTATTTGGAATCCTTTTGATTTTCTGTACACTAAAGTAGAAAATCGTAAGTTATGTGTTTGATGAGAAAGGCACATTTATGTGAGTTAAACCATTTTCAACCGAATTAAAGAAAATGAAAAGATAATGAATGCTTATTTAGAAGTATACAAAAAAAATCATACTTCATAAAAGAAAGTTTTAATATTTCAGTAAATAGTAATTTAAAACCAACGCTTCTTATTCTGCCTCCATTTGTAGAAATGGTAGTTTCAAACCAATTTAAAATACTGTTTGTTCTAAAGAAATAAGTATTATCAAGAAATCTGCATTTGCTATTTTAACATGCGCCGTCGTGGATCAAATTAGTATAAAGCCAACATTTTATTATTTTGTCCATATTAACTGTCCTCCCCCCTAAATTTCATTAATAACATCTGATATAATTTCCATTGTATGAGGAGAGACGTTTTAGTTTAGTTTTTAGTTTTTATAATTTCCATTGTATGAGGAGAGACGTTTAGAGGAGAGACGTTAGACGTTTTATAAGGGCGTTAATCCAGAAGGGCAATTAATTTTGTTTCGGTATTTTGAGTCGGAAACTTTAAAAGTCTA